TCTGGAAGCCATGTCCTATGAGGAGCGGCTTAGGGAGCTGGGAATGTTTAGCCTTACAAAAAGGTTAAGAGGTGACATGATAACCATGTTTAAATATTTGAAGGAATGTCATGTCGAGGAAGGGACAGGTTTGTTTTCCATGGCTCCAGACACTAGGATAAGGAGCAATGGTTTCAAACTACAAGAAAAGAGATTCCACCTGAATGTTAGGAAGAACGTCCTGACAGTCAGAGCTGGTTGGCAGTGGAATATGCTGCTTCACGAGTGTGGTGGACTCTCCTTTGGAGGTTTTTAGGCAGAGGCTGGATGGCCATCTGTTGGGAGTGCTTTGATGGAATTCCTGCATGGCAGGGGGTTGGACACAATGGCCCCTATAGTGTCTTCCAACTCTGTGATTCTGATTTGCAGTTTATATTGTTCACCTGTGGAAAAGACAGGAGTGTAAACAACTCTGTAGTTGCCTACTTATATTCCTTCTTATCAAATATTTATGAAAGTGCTATTTTAGGATATACTTTTACATTTTGCTTGGTTATTTATTTTGTAGAAATAAACTAAATAACCAAGCAAAATGTAAAATTCTGTCCTAAAAGAAAATAAATAACATTTACTTTATTTCTTGGTTGTAAACTATACAGAGTAACTCGACCAGATGGACAGTATAAAAATGAAGCAAATAAATAAATGAATTTGTTTTACTATATTTCTGTTTTGCTGTTCTGTCATGATATGCAAAGGTTTCCAATCCAGATATTCCCATGCAGTTCCCTGCTTAGCTTCAGTCTTGTTGCAACATTCTGTGCCTAGAGGACCTGTTGTAAGAGAAGGTGCACAGATAGATTACAGCTTGTGAACATTTGCTTGGCTGTCTGTAGCGACACATATATGGGCTGTCAGCAAGACTTTACTAGATGGGTGGGTGAGAATTTCTCCCCTTAGGCCGTACATAGACAATTAATGATATATAGGCTCATAAACTAACAGGAAGTTCTTTTGGTGAGCTAGTACATTTGTGTGAATGTATTTATAGTATTCACTGAATAATTTATTGTTGTCTATGAATCAACATAGTCAAAGAACGCAAAATGTGACATAAGAGGGTGAGCTCTAACTGAAACAAGGTCAGATTAGTGTCCATTACATCAGACCTGTAAATCAAGTACTGTACAAGCTAGCCAAGTTCTTATCTTTAACTACAATGTGACAAAAACACATTACTGTAGAACCTTTTCAGTAATGACATGGATGTTTGTCTTCGCACTAAAACCCATAAGCAGCAGTTTATCTGCTGGAGTCTTGGAGAAGACTAGCTTACCAGTAAAAGGAGTGTGTGTGTGCGTGCATGCACAAACAGTGTAAGATGTATGAGCATCCTTACCTTTATTGTCATAATTTAAACATGCAAAATAAACCATAAGATTATTCATATCTACTAGGTATGTGTTGCTAACTAATCTGTAGTGGCTTTTATCTCATTTTTTCATAGGTGAAGCAAATGGTCTGGAGGGCTGAGTTTCATAGTGCATCTGAGTTGGCATGTGTTAAATAGGCATTATACCTGCATAGCTTAAATATAAACCAGTAGGTGTGTGTCTATCATGGAAACAGCTTGCAATTTAGTTCTTAGGAGTTAGTTCTTTTGCTCCTCATGCTTAGGTAGGGTATATATTCCAAAACAGGGGCTTAACAAAATAAGCCCATCCTTGTTGGTGTCTGCTGCCTTTCACCATAGTTTCATGTTTTAGCCATAGTATTTATCAAACCATGAGAAACACTGCCCTTTGGACACAAACTACCCCAAGAGTAGTTCTGCATAGGGATCCTTTGATGCATCGGATCTTTGATACCATTTTTTCCAGTCCATTTTGAATTTAAAGAAAGGAAAAATGTTAACATGATCTAAAGGAGGCTATTCTGTTGTAGACTAGGATATGGGGGGAAAGCATAAAGGAAATAGGTGTGTAAATGAAACAAAACAAATGCTGTAGTTTGATAAGCCAACACAAAGAGAAGAGAGCAAAAGGCATAGTTTATGTATGTACAGTGGTGCCTCACTTAGCGATGTTAATTGGTGCCGCAAAAATCGCTGCTAAGCGATTTCATCGCTAAGCGATTTTAAGAAGCCCATAGAAACACGTTTAATGCGTTCCTATGGGCTTAAAAACTAACCTTATGCGAAAATCCTCCATTGCGGCGGTCATTTTCGGTGCCTCTAAAAAGCGAGGCAAAACAAGCGGCCACTTTGTTTACCCAGTGGCCATTTTGGAACCGCCGATCAGCTGGCTGAAAATGGGGGTTTTGCGATGATCGCTTCCCTGCGATCATCGCAAAGCGAATTTTCCCCATCGGGGCCATAGTAGTGCTATCGCTCTTGCAATGGCAAAAAGTGCATTGCAAAGCGATTTCATCGCTATACGGAGCGATTGCTATGCAAGGCACCACTGTATGTGTGTGTGTGTGTATTTGTATATTTGTGACACATACTGCCTTTCTTCCAGTAAGCTTAAGGCAGAATACATGGCTCTTCCTGTCCAACCGTCCTCAAAACAGCCTTGTTATGTTGGTCAGGCTGAAAGAATGTGGGTGACTTGATTGTATATTTGTGACACATACTGTCTTTCCTCCAGTAAGCTTAAGGCAGAACACATGGCTCTTCCTGTCCAACGGTCCTCAAAACAGCCTTTTTTAGGTCGGTCAGGCTGAAAGAATGTGGGTGACTTGAGGCCATCCACTGAATTTCATGGCTGAGTAGGGATTTGAACCAAATCATCCACTGAGTTTCATGGCTGAGTAGGGATTTGAACCAAAGCAGTCCTGAAAACCTGCCACACTCCAAGGTAAAGCTCATGAGCCTAGCTAGAGTTATCTTAAAACATGCACTCCAGTGTAGACTGCTTTAAAAGCCGTGTTGATTTTGAAGAACAAAGTATCTCTCTCATGAACCCTAATTTCTAATTAGATTTTCTCTCACCCTTCTAGGAATACATTATCCGGGTACAAAGAGGAATTTGCATGGAAAATAGTTGGCAGGTAAGTTTTCAAGAAATATATTTGTTTAATCCTTAATGTTTGTATGCCAACTGTTTTTAGCTTCTAAATATTGTCTTAATGATGTAAGCCACCTTGGGTCTTTTTAAGGAGAAAGACAGGGTCAAAATATTTTAAATAAACATACATTTTGTTCTTTGATGTAATGGGAACATTGCAACACCTTCAGCTAAAGCTCGGCAGCCTGGGTTTATTGGGTGTGACCAGCCAAGCAATCTTCCATTTATTTCAATAGAGCCTGTGTGATGCTTCTTGATGCTACTCATGCTTTTCTTCATATGATCTCATTTTGCACAGACTGAGAACTGTTGATAGTTTTAGATGTTTGCAAGGCAATTAACACCCACAAAGTCGAAGTGCTTTATAGTTGCTCTTTTCCCTCCTGTCTTCTTGAGACTTGAATAAAGCCAAATGTGTGTGTGAAATGTATTGAATCTCATTTGTGAATTAATTTTAGTTTGAAACCTTTGTCTGAAGGTGTTTCCCCCCCCCCTATGATTTTCTTTGTGAAATACAATGCTTTAAGTGGGAGTTAAAAAGCTATAGGGCCATTTGTGATGCACAGATTAATATTTTGCCATCACCCACTTCTGTCTCTCAGGCACACCAGAAGTGGGCTTCGGAGACAGAGAGCAAGAGCGGCAAGATAAAAAAACTCCTGATGTTCAAATCTTTTCCAAAAGAATTAAATTCTAAAAAATATATTTAGCCTACAGTACCCTCTCTGTGCCTAGAAGGATGGGGATAACTGCCAGCTCCTTTCTAGTGTGTCTTCATGGAGTTAAGGAGGCACAGGGCCAGCTGAGACTCAGTCCCGTGCTTTATAATTGGAGCAACACTGGACTTCATGCTTTGAGTTTAGCATTGATTGGTTGACTTAAAGGAAGGAAATACCAATTTTAACAAGCTTTTCCTTCTCTAGGGACTTTGCATTCGGCTATACCTCCCTCCCCCAATCCTTACACTGTTACTTGTATGGCTTATCTTTTCGTTCCTTCTTTAATCTACTTGTGCCAGGGATACTGTTTGCTCAAGGATGTGCACCCTTAACCACCCATGTGTACATGCTTCTGGCTGGGCTCAGCTCTCTGATGCCTGTGCACCAGCTGGTATTTAAGGATCCATGTTCAGAGTCTAAAGGTGTGTTTTTCCCCAGGAAAAGCTGCTGTAGGAGCAGTGATTGGACTTCCAAACAAACATTAATTCTATAATGTGTCAAGCCCTTTTGAGATTCCAAATACCACAATGCTCAAATTGCTGGAATAAGTGGAGACATTAAAGGGGGACGGACACCTTAAATAGAAAAATACATGACATCAGTTTCTTATTTCCATTTTCAGAGGCCAGCCTAAAGTTATAGGAACATAGCCATAAGAACAATATTTTTTAATCTATATGTCTGAAAAATCACAAACCCATTTAAACCTGTCTGTGAATGCTGTGTTCTTACTGTGATGGGTGTCTTTGTCATGGGGTGACTATCTCAGAGAGTGTGATTTCTCTTTCCTTTAGTTTTCTTGGAAGGTGTTGTGTGATGTTGACATGTCCCCATCTTCCTTTAAAACACCTTTATCAGCATACCTAGTTATTCCAAGCACCTTCCTCCTGCACCCATGCTGAGGGACATACCTAACTCATCAGCATAGCTCATGAAATCTTGAGTTATAAGATTGTGAGGTGGTTCATACATGGTTTCATCAGGCCTATGTTGTACCAGCAGTAAATATCTGTTCTTTTGCAGATTGTGAGACGATATAGTGACTTTGATTTGCTGAATAACAGTCTACAGGTAAGGGATTTCTTTCTTTCTTTTTAATGTCAAACTGTAATCAAAACTGGGGATGGGGTAATTGCTGTATTTCTGATCTGTGTTGCTTTTGCCTATGTTCACCATTAGATCATTAATCTGCAAAAAAATCTGCTCCTCAATCAGTGTTTAAAACATACTTTTCTAAAATAATTTTATCTCAAATAAGAATTGCTGGGTTATTATATTTCTTAGTAATTCAAATCAAATTAATTAAAATAAATGTATTTAATCCATAGAAGGGTTTTAATGCATTTTTAATAGAAGAGCTGCACTGGAAAATAAGGAAATATGAAATCTGGTAGAGAACTAAATTCTAAACCATATATTAGTCCAGCTGGTATGGATGAGGATCATTTGTAATTAAACTTACGGGTTATTTGGGTATTCCTATTCATAATAGTAATAACAATGTGCTGCCAAGTCAATGCTGACATATGATGATTATTTTCACGGTTTTCTAGGTATAAAATATTCTGGGACTGTGCAGCTTGCCCAAGGCCACACAGGCTGGCTGTTCTGGAATGCACAGTGAGGAATTGAGCCCCCAACCTCTTAACTTATTGAGCTATCCAGCCAGCCCTATTCATAACAGAAATGCGGATTTGCATCTACTGTACTTTAAAGTAGATTTGCATTGTTAAAGAAAGTACATCTATGTGAATCAAGAAGCAAAATAAAAAAGCCTTTTAAAACCTGGCTAGTAGAGATATTAAAGTATCAGTTCATCAGTTATAGGAAACTGCTGCTATTAACGTTTAGTGGGAACTGATGTCTGAATGTGGGAGAAAAGCAAATGTTGACACCTAAGAATAAGTTAACTTGATTAATCTTTTGTGGCTGAAACATTTCCTTTTTTCAGTCCTATTTTTTTTTAAAGCTAAAGTCTTGTTAACCTTAAGCCCTGAGCTGCAGTGTATCTACTCATTTCCAAAGCACGTTCCTGATGCTCTGCTCTTTATTGTGCGGTACATTTCTGTCACTGCCTAATATTCTTTCAGTTTCAAACACTACAGCTATTGTGTGCTCGGGCTCTCCAAGGACATTGATTACTTTTAAACTGCATGAGAAAATACTGGGAGAGAAAATACTACAGGGTGAAGAATTGCTGGCTGGGTTGCAGGGAGACGTGGGAGGTTAACCACTGAGAGTTTCATCACACTGTTTTGTTATTGTTGTTTAGTCGTTAAGTCCTATCTGACTCTCCGTGACCCCATGGACCAGAGCACACCAGGCCCTCCTGTCTTCCATTGCCTCCCTGAGTTTGGTCAAATTCATGTTTGTAGCTTCAGTGACACTGTCCAACCATCTCATCCTCTGTCGTCCCCTTCTCCTCTTGCCTTCACACTTTCCCAGCATCAGGGTCTTTTCCAGGGAGTCGAGTCTTCTCATGAGATGGCCAAAGTATTGGAGCCTCAGCTTTAGGATCTGTCCTTCCAGTGAGCACTCATGGTTGATTTCCTTCAGAACTGACAGGGTTATTCTCTTTGCAGTACAGGGGACTCTCAAGAGTCTCCTCCAGCACCACAGTTCAAAAGCATCAGTTCTTCGGCAGTCAGCCGCCTTTATGGTCTGGCTCTCACTTCCATACATTGCTACTGGAAAAACCGTTGCTTTGGCTATGTGGACCTTTGGCGGCAAGGTGAGGTCTCTGCTTTTTAAGATGCTGTCTAGGTTTGTCATCGCATACCTCCCAAGAAGCAGGTGTCTTTTGATTTTGTAGCTGCTGTCACCATCTTCAGTGATCATGGAGCCCAAGAAGGTAAAATTTGTCACTGCCTCCATATCTTCCCCTTCTGTTTGCCAGGAGGTGATGGGACCAGTGGCCATGATCTTAGTTTTTTGATGTTGAGCTTCAGATCATTTTTTGTGCTCTCCTCTTTCACCCTCATTAAGAAGTTCTTTAATTCCTCCTCACTTCCGGCCATCAGACTGGTAGCATCTGCATATCTCAGGTTGTGATATTTCTTCCGGCAATCTTAATTCTGGCTTGCGAATTCCTCCAGTCCAGTGTTTCACATGATGTATTCTGCGTATAAGTTAAATAAGCAGAGAGACAATATACAGCCTTGTCGTACTCCTTTCCCAATTTTGAACCAGTCAGTTGTTCCATATCCAGTTCTAACTGTTGTTTCCTGTCCCACATATAGATTTCTCAGGAGATAGATAAGGTGGTCAGGCACTCCCATTTCTTTAAGGACTTGCCATAGTTTGTTGTGGCCCACACAAAGGCTTTTGTGTAGTCAATGAAGCAGAAGTAGATGTTGTTCTGGAACTCTCTGGCTTTCTCTATAATCCAACACATGTTAGCAATTTGGTCTCTAGTTCCTCTGCCCCTTCGAAACTCAGCTTGTACTTCTGGGAGTTCTTGGTCCATATACTGAAGCCTACGTTGGAGGATTTTGAGGATAACCTTGCTAGTGTGTCTTCATAGAATTGGTCAATTTCAGCTTCTTCAGCATCGATGGTTCGTGCATAAACATTATTGTGATGTTGAAAGGTCTGCCTTGGATTCGTATTGAAATCATTCTATCATTTTTGAGATTGTATCCCAGTACAGCTTTTCCCACTCATTTGCTGACTATGAGGGCTACTCCATTTCTTCTACGGGATTCTTGCCAACAATAGTAGATATGGTAATTATCTGAACTGAATTGAATTCGCCCATTCCTGTCCATTTTAGTTAGTTGACACCCAACATGTCAATGTTTATTCTTGCTGTCTCCTGTTTGACCACATCCAGCTTACCCAGGGTCATAGATCTTACATTCTAGGTTCCTATGCAGTATTTTTCTTTACAGCATCAGGCTTTCTTTTAGCCTTTTGTTTCTGTCCATGGAGTTTTCTTTGCAAAGATACTGGAGTGGCTTGCCAGTTCCTGCTCCAGGTGGATCACATTTAGTCAAAACTCTCCACTCTGACCTGTCCATCTTGGATGTCCCTGCACGGCATAGCCCATAGCTTCTCTGAATTACTCAAGCCCGTTCTGCCATGACAAGGCAGCAATATGTGAAGGGGTTCATCTCACTAGGTTTCAACAATTCCTTTGCCATCCTGCCTAATGCAGATGGTGCAAGAATTGGCTTCATGTTGCTTCAGTTACAGAAATGGCTCAAGATACTTTTTACTACCCTTGCCTATTCTGTGTGGGGTACGCTAAGTCCACAGAAGGACAAATATCTCAACTATTTTTAAAGCTTTTCAGCCGCATTTGGTAGGCACTATAACCATTTTAAATAAAGGAATGCTTCAAGTAAATATAAATAGTCTTAAAGAATCCTGAACTCCTGGGGAGGGAAGCTGAAGCAGGTACATGAGCAAAGGTCTCCTTGTAATTCTGGACAGCTCATCCCAGAGCATAGATGTAATGTGTTTAAATTCATTCCATCAACTAATAGAAAAAGCTCCAGTTCATTCGGTGTTTTAAAATAGTGTTTTAAAAGTAATAGCCCCACATTTACTACTTGTTAAGTTGCTAGTTTTGCTGAGTTTCTGTGTCCACTTTCCTGTTCCTCAAAAAGGCTGGCATTCACATATTTCCTGTGAAAACTAATTCTATACAAATGATTCTCAATCTTGGCATATCACGTGGTTCTGGACTACAACTCCCAGAAGTCCTAACTAGCACAGCCAGTGGGGTAGAGTTTCTGAGAACATCAGGGCCCCGTAGTTGTGAATCAGCTAATCTTTTTTCTTTTTCTTTTTAAAATGGATTTATTTAAAATCCTAACAAAATGATACAAAACATAGTTTTAGAAGAAAATTATAGCACTGAGCTTTGAATGAGGGAGAGAAAGAGAAAAAGGGAGAGAAATGGAGATGGAAGTGCAACACAGTTTTCCAGTGCATTCATATATATATGACGTGTGTATTCCTGTGAAGTATAAAGTCCTTCTATGTTAGATTTTGCTTTACACATAAAAATTGATACAGTGGGGGCTTGACTTGAGAACTTAATCCGTATTGGAAGGCGGTTCTCAAGTCAAAACGTTCTCAGGTCAAATCTGCATTTCCCATAGGAATGCATTGAAAACCATTTGATCCGTATCTGCTCTTTTCCGTCCATAGAAACTAATTGGAAGCTGCTATTCTGCCTTCCTGTTTCTTTTTTTCTTAGGTCAAGAAAGGTTCAGGGAAGGCAGGGAAAATACAGTCCAGGCACTACAGTACCAGGCAGTCTGAAGACTGTCTCCCAATCCACTCTCTAAACGCTGGGAGGAGTGAGGAAGCAGACAGGCCCCCTTTTCACTGGCCAACAGTTAACTGAAAGTTCAAATTTTGCACTTTCCCTGCCTCCCACATGTTTTTTTTCAGTTCTTAACTCAAATCTAAGTATGTAAGTCAAGTCAATATTTTCCTATGAGAGCGGTTCTTAAGTCAAAATGTTCTTAACTCGAGCCGTTCTTAAGGCAAGACCCCACTGTAGTCATGAGGGGTTGGTATTACATAGTTTCCAATGAGAACAGGAGCATCTGAAGAGCCCGTTTTTCCATACAGTCCCAGGATTGTTAAGGGGGATTGGTATATTTATCTTTCTGAAGTTGAACAAAAGAAGAAAAATGATGTTGCTTTGAAGTTGTTTAGCTCTGAGATGTGCACATCTTGAGTTAAACATTCAGATAGATCTAAGTCATATACTCATTGTACCAGTGGCTCCCAACCTTGGGTCCCCAGATGTTCTTGGATTAAAACTCCTAGAAGCCTTCACCACTAGCTTTATGGGCCAGGATTTCTGGGAATTGTAGTCCAAGAACATACAGGGACCCAAGTTGGGGAACCATTGCTTTATACCAATTATTCATAAATAGGTTATCAGATTCTTTCTATTGCTTTGCTCGTTCTTGGTGTGCAGCAGCATGTAAGAAGGTGAACAAGTCTTTATGCATTAGCCTGGATTTGATGTCCAGAAGAAGATACAGTAGACCTAATGGTTGGTCTAATCTGACCAGCTTCTCCCAGCCTTATTGTTCCCCAGGCTATACAAATCACAGTGACACCCACCACTTGCATAGGACATTCACACAATTGAAAACTACTGTCTTCCATAGATAATTTACGGTATTTTGAGAAATGCTAGAAAGTGAGGAATGAATTGAAAACTACTGTCTTCCATTTTACCATAGATAATTTATTTTGAGAAATGCTAGAAAGTGAGGAATAAGTAAACTGGAATGACTTGCATGGCTGTTCCACTAAATGTGTATGTAGACACTGAGGTAATCCTTTTCCAATCTGATGGTTTTCGCATATGTTGCAACCACCATTCTTAGCTAACGATTGTATTATGGGATTGCCATTCTATCAAAAAAAAAAAGGTGCTAGACTAGGAACAGAAATTCTAATACGACAAAGAAATCCCCTTTGAAACACCCAATAATAAATATGATACCAGGGGTCAATAGCGACAAATGGTTCTCTGCAAACATCAATATTTATTTAAAAATTAATGATATCATGAATTAATAACAGTTATGCAACAAATTAAATATTTACATTTTTAAACATTCATTGTAATGATTAATCTCTCAATTTTTAACATTCAACACACAAAAATTAATTTTTCACACCTAATATTCTGGCCTTCAGCCAGCTGCCACCACCAATTCCAGGACATGTGGGTGTGGGGAAGGAGGCAGGTATAACCTGAACACAGGGTGAGTGCTTTGGATCCCAACCTCTCCCCCCCCCCCCACACTTGTTCGGCTNNNTGTCTCTCCGTAGCTGAGCAGTTTATCAGGACTTTGAATCTGGTAGTAGATCAGTCATGGAATTCTTTGTTTTCCATTGGATTGCTCTGAAAGGCATTTAGAATACAGTATATTGGAAAACATAAAGTGTCATCAGTACTCCCCCCCCCTTGTATGGGTTTGTAGAATTTATCTCAAAATTGATTTTAAGACTAAGCACGGAGCTGTTTCCTAAGGCAGAATACAGGATGCCCTCAAGTTCAAGGAACACGGATATGCTGTTTCACAACAGTTGTGCTGAGCTGGCATATTGAGCTGAAGTTTTACTGCTGCTTTTAAGTTCTGTGTAAAATTTCACCTGAATTGCATTATACAATGTTGCAATGGTGATTATGTGTTAATTGCAGCAATAACAAAATTCTTCAGTAGAACATGCAGGGAAGTTGTGAATCATCTCTTTTCTGAAAATACTTGAATTTATATCCTAGTCAGGCAGCCTAAGCGTGGTCCACACCACTTTTAGTATTTTAGGCTGTTCTGTTGTGGGCATCTTTTATGTAGTCGTTGATCAAAAGAGATGCACTGTCTTCTCATTTCTTACATAAATGCTTCATGCAGTTCAATATTATTATCATCCTCATCATCCCCCCTCCTCCTCCTCTGGTTTCTTGCTATGGAATACCCTGTCGTCACTGGATGAGGATGTCATGTGAATAAGATTGATGTTAAATAATACAACTACAGTACTTTTTATGGAGATTCAAGGTGTTGTTTCAGAAGTCCATTTTGTAAGTAGATGCTTAAAATATTTGCTTTAGGTGTATAATGAGCAAGATGAGGGATGAGAAACCCCTGTTGGACTGAAACTCCCATTACTCCTGACCTTTAGTTTTGTTAGCTAGAGCAGATAAGAACTGGAGCCTAACATATGAAGGGCCACAGGATCTTCACTTCTTTGGTAGACACACGTCATGTCAGCATAAATCAGTATGTAACAAAAGCAGACGAGAGCTTTTGTAAAAGTTTCTCTTGAAAAACATCAGATAAAGGAAGAAGTTCTAGCTGTTCATACAATTCTCTGGACCTTCCTTCCTGTTTCCATTGTATAGACATCCGATTCTTTTGAGAATTTTTTTTAATTACGTAAGTTTTCTTGATTCCTGGAAAATGCCTCATAAAACTTACTTCATCAGCAGCCTCAGTGTAATGTGAATGTTGATAAGGTGTTGGATGAAATCCTGTTGCTTAGGGTAGTAAGTCTCACCAGAGTAGGCCCATTAAATCAGTGGGAATTTTGTGTGTCTCTTCCTTCTAAGTTCTGTTTATTCAAATGGGTCTACTTTAATTGCAGCTTACTTTAGTAACTTGCAACTAAAGAGAGGTTCATTTGAATCAATTAGAATCAGATGATTCACCAAATACCCACTGAACCTACTCTAGTGCAACTTACTACACTAAACAACAGGACTTCAGCCATGAGATCACGAATCACCTATATAGTTGCTGGCCAATTGTTCTGCCATGTTCAGTAACACTGAGGTCACAAAAGTAGTAGTAGAGCTATCCATGCATTCCACTCAAGCACTTCTTGTTGGTGTGGTCAGTGCTCTGATCTTTGACTGTTTGTTTTTAGTAAAGGACACAAGTCAAACTCAGTCAGGTGATGGAGACATATTAACATTTTTCCTCATGATGTCCAGCCAATACAATGCAGAGTGATGATTTGGCTGAATTCTTGCTCATCTTACTTTTAAAAATAAAGATTTTGACATAACAATTGTCATGCTCCTTCAGTTGCCTTGAATGGTTATAGTTTGTTTTGATGACACAACAAACTCTCTTTAAATGACCTTGGTGCTGTCTTTAAAACTGATGTTTCACAGCCAGCCATTAGAATGCTTGAAACGTTAGCCTCTTGTGGGGATAGGAAAGCAATCCTGCGATGCACCATATCCCATTCCTGGGGGATGTGATTCCGATTCTTAGGAGTCAAGGACGTTGCACATTAACCGCCAGTAGCTCCCTCATGCTTCTTTCAAAAGGGCAACTTATAAATTGAAGCTGCCAAGTCATTGACTTGAAAGGGATCTGAGGACAACTGGAGAGAGAGCCAGAGACACAATTAACAATTTGGGTGTCAAAGAAAATGGGGGAATGTCCTGTGCAGGGCCAACTCTCCCATTCTTCCTGCATGGCAGTGTACTGATTCCATCACCCGCGTCTACCAGACTCCTCCAGGTACAGACTTTAGAAGAAGGAGCAGCCCTGCCATGTCCTTGCTCATATGACAAAAGCTAAAAAATGCCCTTTGGTAGTTCACTTGGAAAAAAGTTCAGTGATGGTGGCAACGGTGGAGAGCACTGGCAGATCAGACCCTGTACTCAAAAATGAAAATGACAACTGGCATGGTCAATGGCTATGTTTAGATGTTGAATGAATTGCTCTAAGTGCCCGATTCACACGTTCTCTGTTTTGCTTCTGTCCTCGTAGCAAACAGAAGGTGTTTGGAAATTCTGTTTGAGATTATCTGTAGACTTTTTCATTCCATACGAACCTGGACAATTGTAGTTAATCTTTTTAACTGTGTCTTATTTTTGAAACAAGCTAGCTCGAAAATACCGGGTTATGAAGCCAATATTTTGTTTCTACAAGCTGCTATTAATATTAACTACAGTTTATGGTTTGGCCATAATGCCAAACTATGGTTAATTAAAGATGGAACAGAATCTTGTATGTTTTCTGACAGCAACACTGAAAGAGGAAAAGAGCAGGATGGCAGAATGATGTGAGTGCTCTGTAGTTTATTTTGTTCACAGGTTTATTGTAGCATCTCATAAGCCTGAGCTTCATGTTTATTGGGACATTTGAATACTGAGGTTCATGTTTATTGGGATGTTTGAGTACAACCATTACCTTCTACAAGTGGCTGTTGCTTAACTACTTTTTTTAACAGTAACTTGTAGCGTATACATTCTGTGTCATTGTTTTGTCCTTTTTTAACTGAATGGTTGTTGTTTGTTTTTGTCTTAAAGATATCTGCTCTTAGTCTACCTCTTCCTCCCAAAAGGTTGATTGGGAATATGGATCGTGAATTCATAGCTGAAAGGCAGAAAGGACTCCAAAACTATCTCAATGTGATTACTTCCAGTCTTATACTGTGCAACTGTGAACCAGTAAAGAAGATTTTGGATCCAAGCAACTACTCTGTAAATTATACTGGTAAGGAAACAGTTTGCAGCTTCTTTACTGATAGGGCTGGAAGAAAATTGAATTTCTCCTCATAGTTTGATTTATTCTCATAGTATGAACAATGCAGTCCCCTTTTTGAGGGAAGTAAGCTCAGTCAGCAGAGAGCTTAAATACAGAGGGCAAAACTTTGTAGGAAAGGAACAGGGATGACATTTGACAGGCTTGCTATTGGCCAGAAGTGTTTCAAGTAATGGGTTTCTGTTTTCTGTAGAAAGTATGTCAAGGGCAACAATGGCCTTTATCTAAGTAGGATTCTCTGCTTCTTTTAATGTGACTTGTGATGGCATTGGCATTTAAAATACTTTGTGTGTGTGTGTTTTCTTCCACTAAGAAACTGCTGACTGGATTTCTATCTGCACATGTTTGATTAAAAGCCCAGTATGTTGACATAGTTCAGCCCTAATTTGTTATTTGTTTGCCCATGGATTTCAGAACAGAATGCTTCCTCATAGTTCTGGAGTGATTTGACCCAAGCCCACAAAACAGCTCCAAAACAAGCTATTTCATTGGCACCAGAGCGTAACAGAAGTTAGAGGTGTGATATAAGAACCTCTTGAGGTAGTGTTTCTGTTACAGGCCAAGCCCGTTACCCAAAACATTTAGCTCCAGCAAGAGGTCAGATAAGACACAGCCAACTGAACCAAAGTCCAGTTTTATTGTATATCCAAACCAAAGTCAGCTGGGACGCCTCTTGAAGGCAGAGAAGACCCTGAAAATATGTAAAGGAACTTTATAGCATAACAAAGAGTCGTAAAGTTCTACAAACTCATTGTCTAAAATCTACTTACAGTTTGTATCCTAGACCTAATTGGATATAAACAGTGGAAAACAAACTAATTGGTCCCCTATAGATATCTGGGGTATGCCCACCTCCCCTGGATTTCTTTAAGATGTGCCATACTGTCTGGAGGAAAGTGTATCCCAACTTCCTTATTTTATTGATATGTTTATGTTACCAAGCAGGGCCCAGATGTATGGCCTTCAGTCTCTGGCTCCCTGCTGGGTTTTATGTTCCGGCTATCTGTGTTTAACCTCTGGGCAACATCCCTGAATCTTCTGCTAATCGAAAGGTGAAGGGGCGGAAGGGGTGAAAAGATAGGTATTGACTTGATACAGAGGTCAAGAGAGAAGTAATGCTGAGAGCAACATAATATGTAGAATAAGGTTTTTGTACTCCAAAGACAGGAAATAAAATTACTTTTGGCCATCTTCAGGTATCATTTCCTTCATTGGAAAATGCCTTCTTTTAAGCCAAGAAACTTCAGTAGAGAGATATTTCTTTCACCAACTGAAATATCCTTTCATGAGGAGCCCTGGTAGTTTTTACACTTTTGAGGTAAATGTTGACTTGGCTTTGAGGGGGGCAACGCCACTCCAGAATACCAGTAGTATCTTGCATTTTTCAGTTCATTAGCCAGGCTTTCACAGCTTTCGCCCGTTTTTTCCAACACAAGGGAATGAATATTAAGTTTGCAGCTGGAGACCTGTGTATATTTGAAACTAACGAGCTGAAAAGTTGCCAGTGCTGTGTTTGCTCTTGGAAGCCTGCCTCAATAGCTATTGTAAGGCTGTTCTGCTTAAACATTCCCCAGTCCAAGGCCGTCTCCCCCACTGTGGTCTCCCTTTCATCCTCAGAGATTAAACACCTGAACACAGTGGGGCAACAGTGGGAGCAGAATGTTGTTGCCAGCTTTTGAATATCCTGGCTTCCTTTTGCCTACTGTGAAGCAACCTTCAGGGCCAATTCACAGATGATTTCTCCTTACCGAACTACATTGTAATCTAGGCAATGTATGTGTATGCAACAGAGGAAACTAAATGAATAGTAAATATCCCAGACAAATGATAAAGGAATTCTTTGATGTGGGCTTTCAGATGTGTCTATGAATTATAAAATGTTGTAAAAGAGATTATATTACCTGGCCGGTTCTTATTTTGGATGTTTAAAAAGCAATTTTAGCACACAGTATCTGGTGCATGTATGCCTCTGATTGGGACAGTCCTTCACTGATCAATGCAGACCCATGAATATGTGTTTGACGTGGTTATTCTGGCGTTGATCACTGGCTTAGCTGGAAGGTCAAAGTCCCTGATTTTTTTTTTTTTAAAGAACAGGGAACACTTATTGAATAGCTTTGTAGGTGTTTATTATGTGTGTGTCTCTCATAGAACCCTATGAATGGTTTTCTTAGTATGCCCTAGAGCCCTAGGTACAGAATGTATTTAATTTTTATTGTATAGACTACTCTTTATAGCCATAGTTCCCAGCTTTGGATCCCCAGATGTTCATGGATTATAACTCCCAGAAATCCTGGCCAGCACAGCTAGTAGTAAAGGATTCTAGGAGAACATTTGGGGACCTAAGGTCATCAAGCCCTGCTTTACAATAAAGATATTTTTTAATATTTTGCCTTGTATCTTGAGAAGAAAATGTTATATCGCTGCCTTACATGTTGTTCTTCACAGTGAAAACGTGCTTCATCCCTGACACTTGTTAACGTCCACATAACATGCTTCCAAACATTATTTTTACAGAAATTGCCTTACAGCACGTTTCAATGTTCTTTCGGTCAGAGCCCAAATGGGAAGTGGTGGAACCTTTAAAAGATATAGGTGAGTTTGTTGCAATGAGCCAGCTGCACATTGCATTATCCATGCAGGTAGCAAACATGTGCTTCTTGTTTTTTTAAACAGGAAGTGGTAGGGTCTAATTATTATTATTAGCACCCAGATAGGGTTTCCCTTTTATCTTGCTATAGTTTGATTTGTCTGAATAGGACCTTTTCCACCAATACAGTCAATAGGTGTGTGAGCCCTTACCTAGTTTTAGATTGCAGTAATGAACAAAGAGTTAATGCCCCCCTGGTTCCTCCCCCATTCTGCTAGGATCCTAATTTGTATTGTGTACCATGCTTTACACCTACCTTTTTAAAATATCCCAGTGATGTGCATAGAAGTGTTTATTACAAGATCAATGTAATAAGGGTTTTCTTTACTTTGTTTTTCAGCAGAGGGCTTTTTCTGTCCTATAGCACATACTCTTGTAAATGGAAAATAGCAGAGATTGACCTTTCCACATGCTTTATTGTCTACTGTTATACATTGACCTGCACTTCGAAATAGGAAAGACAGGAGAAGAGTATTTTGGCTAAAAACAACAACAACAACAAATCTTACAGATTGATTTGGACAGTAGATTACATTGTTTAGGGCTGCGTCATCCAGAGCTGGAATGGTCATGGTGATGTCTGACCATTGTAGGAGAGAAATGAAAAGAATGAAACGTTGGTCCTTTCCTTTTTGTACAGTGCTATAAACATGCACTCTTAAACTGTGAGTCCTGGAACTTTCCTGTGCAAGTTGCACAATCAGGACCTTGCAATCTGAGCTAACAGCACCATTCCTGCTGTGGACAGTAGATTACAATGTTTGCCCTCTTTTCCTGTATATCTTGCTTAAATTCTGTTCAAATTTATTTAGTATAAGTTTATATTCTTACACTAAATGAAATATTAAATATAAATTGTATTCAAATACATATAGTTTACATTCCTATAAACTGCTTTTTCTTCTTCCCCATGGCATGCATTATTTATATCGTTGACAGAAGGGCACCAATTTTTGTTGTTGTTGTTTATTTTAGAAGCAAATGTGATGGCACAATATTTGGGCAGGCTTTTGAACTAATTGGAATTGATGCAAAATGTTGCCGAAATTGCTGCAGGGAGACTGAGGGTCACTTGGCAACCTGCTCTTCTGAACGTGCCTTTTGTAGAAGCCAAATGGCCTCTTCTTGAGATGTGCAACAGTACAAAGCAAGCTACCATTGACTTTGGGGTTGTGGTTTTTCTTTTAAGGCTGGAGGATACGGAAGAAGTATTTCTTAATGAAGATTAAAAATCAACCAAAGGAGCGGCTAGTATTAAGCTGGGTAGGTTTTTCTCTTTTGTGGCTTTTATATTCTCTTCCAAGATTACACAGTGGACTAGCAGTACTGTATCTTGGTTTTTCCTTTCTTGTCCCTCCTATATAAATTCCCTGAGCATAAAAGGGATTTGTAGAATTCTGTAGAACCTATTCCCAGTTCCAGCTTCATGTTAGCAATGTTATAATCAAGAGTTTGAATAGTGAGAGAAGTTATTCAGTGACTGAAAGCCTGTTACACGGTTACTCAAATGGTGCAACTTTCGGACGCAGGTTGCCACAAGTTAAGAAATCGCTGTAATCATTATCCATTGCACTACTGAGTTACACAAAGTGGCATGCCTGTGGATATTTCTTAAATTTGAGATGTGAATTGTTGTGATTTATGCCATTTCTATAATTTTCAGTAGGATTTCAGCTGACAAAATCATACATAAAATGTATTGATATTACCCTAATCCTGATATAATAATAATTATGTGCTGTCAAATCAATTCTGACTTATGTCAATCCTTTTCATAGTTTTCCAGGTAGAGAATTCTCCGAAGTGGTTTACCATTCCCTTCTTCTGGGGGCACCCTAGGATATAGTGGTTGGTTATTAAAAGTAGCCATGAGAAATTAGCAGAAAAGAGTCTGGAGTGTACTTGATTTTACAGTAGGTTCCCCTATATGCAGGATCAGTATCCTCAGGTTCACTTATCTACAGTCTGAAAATATTAAAAGAAAAAAAACACATATATTTTTCACTTGTATTACTAGAACTGGCCACTAGAGGGAGACAGAGAATACTTGTTAGTGAAGAACACATAGGATGGTCTCTGCCACCCTCTAGTGGCAAGTTCTGGTAATTTCTGTGAAAATATTTTTTCTTGGTTTTTTCCCTCCTTTCACAATATACAGTGGTGCCCCGCATAGTGACGATAGTCCGTTCTGGATAAATCGTCGCTATCCGGATTCATCACTATACGGGGCAAAAAACCCCATAGGAATGCATTAAACCCTGTTTAATGTGTTCCTATGGGGGGGGGAACTCACTGTTGTGTCAAGATCCTTCATAGGGGCGGCCATTTTCGGTTATATGAAGATCCTCCATGGGGCGGCCATTTTCAGTGCCTCTAAAGCGAGGCAACACAGTGGGCGGCCATTTTGGAACCGCCAATCAGCTGTGTGAAAATGGCGCCTTTGGGAGGACCTGAAGCCACCGCCGGCATTTTCGCCCAGCTGAGCAGCGATGGCTTCGGAAGCTCCCGCCGCTCAGCTGGGGGAAAATGCCAGCTAGGGCTTTGCGAGGACTCCCCCGCGATCCTCGCAAAGCCCTAGCCGCCATTTTTGCCCAGCTGAGCAGCGGTGGCTTCGGAAGGACTGAAGGCGGCATCGCAATGCGGTCGCAAAAGCGATCGCAAAAAAAGCCATCGCTATGCGGATTCGTCGTTAAAGGGGGCGCCCATTAAGCGTGGCACCACTGTACAGCGTTCACTATTATCCATTGTTTTCAGTATCTGTGCAGGGCTTGAACCCAATCCCCAGTGGATATGGGAGTCCTACTTTATTGTAATTTATATCACTAAGCAGCAGTCACCAGCTGGATTGGGCAGGTTCAGTATAGGATGGTGTGTCTTTTTTTCCCCCCCAGTACTACTTCGTTAAGCTGAGTGGCATCCATTCAGGATGACTCGCTAATGTCTGCAAGGCCCTTACCTATAATTCTGGACATTACAAGTGCTATTCCGTATGAGACCAGCAGTTTCACACCTCATGTTATCTTTGTATTCTGTCTCCCTCCTGCAAGCTCAATGCAGGACAAATTGCTCCTTCTGCCCATTTTGTCCACAGAACAGTCTTGTGAGGTGTAAGTCAGGCTGCAAGTGTGTGACTAGGTCAAGATCTTTTCTTTCTTTGTTTTTATAAGCTAAGTCGGGATTTCAGTCCATGTCTCTAGTGTGGTCATCCAACACCACCCCGCTGAGTCACTATAGCAGCTTTAAAGAAACATGCTCTTTAGTAGCCAGGTAGCATGAGTGCACACCCACTACAGGTACTTACGTGTGAGGAGGAAGGCATGAATACTGTCACTTTAATAACTTTGATGATTAGAGGAGGTGACCGTTGTTATAAAATAGCATCTGTTGTATTTTTCAGGCTGACCTCGGCCCTGACAAATATCTATCTGACAAAGATCTTCAGTGTGTTGTGAAACTCCTCTCATCTTGTTCCGTGAGTAGATAATTAATGCTAGCACCACAATTCAGAATCAGAATTACAGCCCTTCAGATCCAGAATTCAGAATTAATTTTCCAAATATCTTGAACTCTGTAAGAGTCAATAGGAACATTATACAGTATAGTTATTATTATTCTCCCAAGCAAACTACACCAGAGCACAGAGTGCTGTCCTCTGAAGATGCCGGCCAAATAGACTGGCGAAACGTTAGGAAGAACAACCTTCAGAACATGGCCAAAGAGCCCGAAAAACACCCACAACAACTATTATTTTTCTATTTAAAAAACACACACACAAACAGGCAAAACATTTTTAAAGGATTACTCTTCACCCTCTAACATCTCAGTGATTGTGGCTGTGATGGCCCCTGCTTGCTTCACCAAACAAAGAGACATCTCAGTGATTGTGGCTGTGATGATTCAACGTGGCCCCTGCTTGCTTCACCAAACAAAGAGCTCATACTACGTGTTGCCTCAGCTGCCACTAGTTGATTTCATCAACAATACCTATTATTAATGACAGATGTCCAGGCCATATATCATTTTTAAAAGAACCAAATAGAAATTGTTTATTGATACAAATGTTGGTAGAACAAGCAATGTCGTTAACTCTTAAACAAACATTCTTCTTTATCCACCCTTAAGCACCATTCTCCCACCCAAACTCCAAAACTCCATCAAACTCTCTAACTCCCTAATTCTCCATCTCTAGAACCCTCTCTAAACCTTATCTATATTTGTCTCCTCCTCCTCCTCCTGCTGAGTCTTTTATACCTTGTGACTCTGCCCCTCCAGCCCTCCCATTGGCCTATGCAAATAGCATATGAATATTCATGACCTGGGCAAAGGCCACAGTGGCAAACAAAAAAAGAGTGCACACCAACATCCAACAGTGTCTAAGTATTAGGAAATGACTGCAATGGGCGTCCGGATTGAACCCTGAGCAGTAGGAATGCCCATCAGCCTTTGGGGAAGCAGAAGAGAGGTGGCACTGGGGAGTGGGCAAACAGGCAGGCAGATTGGAGCAGCAAGTAGGCTGCGGTGGATGGAATCTGTGCCAACAGCACAGGGCACAGCGCAGTTGACTGAGTAAGCACAATCTTAAATATTAGGCCAAAACAAAAGAAAAATATATAATAAAGAAGAAAATGTTGTGGCACCTTAAAGACAAACGGCTGTATTTTAATGTAAGCTTTCGTGGACATGTCTACTTCCTCAGACTAAGAATGGGACTAACTGGCAAATATTTATACATTTACACATGACCCTGAAACAGAGAGACTGTGTGTTTCTTAGGGACAAGTTGTTGATAGTGTGGCATTTCGCACCTGGCAGTGTCTTTTAAAATCCCTGTTGACATTCAGTTCCGCTCCCAAGAAGCATTTTTTCTGTAAAAGTGACAATGATTGGTGGCTAAATTAATCCCAGGCTATAGAAAACAAGCAGGAACAACAGACTAATGAATATTTCTGATCACTAATGGGGCTTGTAAAGTGGCACTGGTTAATTAGTTAGGAAATATCCTGGCAAATTTTGCCCACCAATCCATATGAAGGGATGTTCTGTGCTTCTCTTCTATATAATTGGGTTTGTAGAGTTACTCTAAAGAGTGGGCAGGAGAAATGTTAGTGGCAGTATATATTTTTTATTACTTGATATGGAGAAAGGGAAGGTAATGACACAGAGAGTAGCCTCTTGATGACTCCTGTCATGCCTCATTCAGCCTCAGTGAAAAAAGGCACCTGAAGTTTTAAACCAGTGGTTCTTAACCTGGACAATATCACCCCCCAGGGGGTGATTTCATTTTTCAGGGGGGTGATGGAATGAAAAGAGGCGACGTGGGGATGAAGGAGCAGTAGGGGGGCGATGGAGCTGCCGGCTGGCGAGCTGCCTCTTTTGTTGGTTGGTTCTTTCATTCTTTCCTCTTTGGGCATTTCCACTTAATTTCAATTTTGTTTGAAAGCTATCTCTGTTTAAAGCTCAGAGAATAAAGCTCTCTCCTTCATAATCAACACATATAATTTCAATAGTCGGGGTTACTGAATTCTGCTGCATGACTAGAAGGAACATATAGATTGATATTCCTGTGCTTAGGAGTAAGTCCCACTCAGGTCCTACTCAGGAACTTGCTGGAAGTTGTGTGAAGTCAATAGGTATAAGATGAGTCTGTTATTAAAAATCAGTGTTTTCTTTTACAGCATCCCTATATTTGCAAGGTCACTTTTGCAACTGCCAATGAATCTTCTGCACTAGTCATCAGACCCTACAATGAAAAAGGAACGTTAAAAGACCTGATATATAAGGTAGTGTCAGTACGCTTTCAACATACAAAAGCAATGTGATTTAACAGTACTGGTGATATGGACTTGAAACTGTACTTTATGGATGCAGATGGTGCATTGTTATAGTCATACCTCAGGTAGATCCAATGAAATTTACCTGGCTTACATTAGTGACAATTAACATAAGTTCTCTTGACTTCAATAAATCTACACCATATGCTTATATCTGGATTCAGCCCCATATTTCTAGGTCATAACATTTATTTAATTTTAAAAATGGATTGATTAAAGCAAAGCAAAAGCAAAGTGAGCTGCTTATATACCGCCCCCTAGTGCTTCAAGCACTCTCTGGGTGGTTTACAATTTAATTATGCAAGCTACACATTGCCCTCCCCCCCAAAAAAAGCTGAGTATTCATATTACCAACCTTGGAAGAATAGAAGGCTGAGTCAACCTTGAGCCGCTACCTGGAATTGAACCCTAGATCGTGAGCACAGTTTTGGCTGCAGTACAGCAGTTTAACCACCATGCCATGAGGCTCTAATAAACGTTCTTCTAAATGTACATCAGGTATTAATATGTATACATACATCTTCTTATTTATGAAATACTTATTAAAACTGCAAATGGAATTACTGATAATGATGTCTGCTCTAGGTTATAATCCTCACATGTGAATGTAGAGTGTGTGTGTGTGTGTTTTCTTTGGAACTCTTGATTTACCTATGTGTAATGCTAACCAACTGGACTAGGAGTCACATGATTAATATATTTTTTAAAAATCAGAATACAGCATTAAAATAATTCTTGCTTATATATATATATATATATAACATAATTCTTTTATATATATGTAACATTATATATATATAAATAACATAATTCTTACTTATATATAAATTTAAATGCCTCCTGTAGGTGTAGCATGTTGTGTTATGTTTAAAACTGTGTTATGTTTAAAATCAATAATCACAGCCACAATTTCCTTTTAAAGGCAAAACCTAAAGATCCCTTTTTGAAGAAGTACTGCAATCCGAAGAAAATTCAAGGTCTTGAACTTCAGCAGATTAAAACATTTGGCAGACAAATACTAGAGGCAAGGAGTGTTTTTATTGTTTAAAGTACATAGTCCATAAATCATATCTGAATAGCAATGAAAAGCTTTATCCAAATTTGGCTGTAATTTTCACATGCTGAGAGTCTTACACTGAATTGTGCAGCCCAAATGCATTTTTCCAGAGATATTTTATTAGTGCTTGTAAGTGGATCCAGTATTTTCCTTGCTTGTCATCCCTGCAAAATGCATGTGGTACCTGAAATCTTGTTGCCAATGTATAAAAAAATCTTGTCAGGGAAAGTATCCATTCTAACCTGTACACACTAATTAGTCTCTATATTGAAATAAATCGTATGCAAAGCAGCCCTTTTATGCATTAATAATATAAAATGCACTGGATGTCATACATAGCCAAAGCCAAGCAATGGGAAATGCAGATGTTAAACTTGTGGGGGGAAATGACTTGAGGGAGGGAAGGAAGAAAATTACCAAAACAGATTATTGGCAACATGAGAAGAACTAGAGATTTTTATGGTAGAGGAAGATATGAAATGTTTTTGAGCAGAAAGAAGCTACTGTATTCCGTGAAATTTGGATAAGAGTGGCAGTGATCACTGAATAAAAACTTTTAAAGTATCCGTGGACTAGCACTAAAAGCTTCACTAGGGGAATTTTCTCAATTAAATTAAAAGCTTTGTGTGTTTGATCTTCTAGGTCTTAAAGTTCTTACATGAGAAAGGATTTCCATATGGCCATCTTCATGCCTCAAATGTAATGCTGGATGGAGACACGTGCAGGTTACTAGACTTGGAGAATTCATTGCTGGGGCTCCCATCCTTCTATCGGTCTTACTTCACGCAATTCCGCAAAATTAATGTGAGTTGGAGCAAATGTATCGGCCTTCATCAAGAATACATGATCCATTGCAACAGTTTCCGAACTTGTAGTAATGCAGTGAAAGAGCACATTGAAAAGGAGAGGGGTTGAAGAAGCCTAGAAGAAACTTACGAGGCTTCTGGATTGCTTGTTTTTTCTATTATCAGACTGAGTTTTGAGTGCTTGATATCCTGCATTTGCCTTCACTGACCATTTTTGATTGCATGTAAAAAATAGCATTGAACAAGCCGCACCATAGAACTATAGAATAATGAAATTGGAAAGGGCCTGTAAGGCCATCGAACCCAATCCTCTGCACCATGCTTCTTAAAATCATTTGGATGCTTTTGCTTATTTTGTTCTAACATTGAACTTGTAATATAAGCACTTAATGGAAGCACTGTTTTGTCTCTACTTGTAAACACAACCCCCCAGATGATTTAATATTCTGACAGCTAAATCTTACACATGTATTTTGATTATGTATGTTTTTTTGTAAAACGTTCAGAGTATTGCTTCAGCAAAATGGGAGCAGTATACAAATTATTTGAATGAATGAATAAATGAATGAATGAATAAATGTACTCAGAGGTAAGTAGGGTTGAGAGGGATTTATTACTAAGGAAGGGTGTCGAATCCACGCAACGGAGTGAGCTCCCGTCGCTTGTCCCAGCTCCCGCCAACCTAGCAGTTCGAAAGTATGCAAATGCAAGTAGATAAATAGGGACCACTTTGGTGGGAAGGTAACAGCGTTCTGTGTCTAAGTCGCACTGGCCATGTGACCACGGAAGATTGTCTCCGGACAAACGCTGGCTCTATGGCTTGGAAACGGGGATGAGCACTGCCCCCTAGAGTCGAACACGACTGGACAAAAATTGTTAAGGGGAACCTTTACCTTTGATAATCTGTCCCGGTGTCGGAATGCAACTTTAATTATACAGTGGTGCCCCGCATGACGACGATAATCTGTCCCGTGAAAATAGCTGTTTAGCGAAATTGTCATCATGTGAAAACCTTTTCCCCATTGGAATGCACTGAAACCTGCTTTAATGTGTTCCAGTGGGGAAAATACCTCGTCGTCCAGTGAAGATCGCCCATAGAGAAGTCATATTGCGAGCGCCGATCAGCTGTAAAAATGGCTGCCCTGCAAAGCATGGGTCTGGAAAACACAGGGCAGCCATTTTGCGAAGCCAAAAAAATCGTCGTCTTGTGAACAAACGGTTCGCGAAGCACTGACCTAATCGACGTCCAGCGAAAATCCCTCATTGGAATGACTGTTTTGCGAATTGCTATAGCAATCGCAAAAAGTCATTGTTATGTGGATTCGTCGTTTAGGGGGGTCGTCATTTAGCGAGGTACCACTGTATAAACATGATCCCAAAGAGAAGTTATTCAGGCTACAGACTTTATAACTTTTTTGGTATATAGTATGCAGAGACATTTATACCAATACAACATTCCTCATGCAGATTTAGGTAAGGTTCATGGACATTATCCAAATATTCTCTCAAGTACTGTATTGTTTTTTTCCCTCTTAGACTTTAGAAGCTGTTGATGTGCATTGCTTTGGTCACTTGCTGTATGAAATGACCTATGGGAGACCACCAGACTCTGTTCCAGTGGATAGCTTCCCTCCTGCACCATCCATGTCTGTAGGTCAGTGAACTGCTTGAGTAACGTTTCAGCACAGAATTAAGAATTGCTGGCATTTCTTTTATCCATCTTTAATTAAGGGATTATCCACACAAAAAACACATTTCTCCAATTGCTTTTCTATTGGTGTGACAATTTCTACACTTAAAGTGTCAGGGAGAGGTGAGAGATGTTTAGATTTCATGTCGGTTTTTTTCTGTGCACCCGATGATTAGAATTATTTTAAATTAAAGATCTCACTCTTAAGATCTCAAAGATGAGGACAACTGGGATAGAAGATTGATTATTTTGTGGTAGTCCTCTGTGTTAAACAAGTACTGCCTTTCTCATCTTCTATTTTTAGAGCAAATGATAACATTCGGTGCCCACCCACCCACCACCATAATCTAAAAGGTTTTTGATGGTATGCACAGCTCTGGACTGTATATGCTCTCTGCTCCCCCTTCGACTGATGCCGTGTCATCTCCCCTTCATCAGAAATATAGAGAACTGTGTGCCTTTTCCCTTATGCTTAGTCGTATGCTGTGGGTTTTAGTAGCAAAGTTGCTTGTGCTCTGTGACTCTAGCTTCCCCCAAGAGAAGGAGTCCATCGCCTGTTTTGTCCTCACATGCTGAGTGAGAAAGCACATTATTTTTCCCCTCATGTCAAGATCATGAGGAATGGGGATGGGGTGTCTTAGAGAAAATGTGTGTAATTTATGAGATTAATTGTGAGATTTGAAGAGTCACGATGGTGAAGTATGGCACTCTCAGTGCCATACTTTCAGCTTCCTGTAGTAGCAATTGCATTTTGGGTTGGCCATTGTCAGGAGATGAGATGTCCTGTGTGTGCAAGCTCTGCAGTGTGCAAGGCTTTAAAGCACCCTCTCTTTGATAATTTTGATAAAGATGTCTAGTGATGGTTCTCCTGTGATCTTTGTTTCTTTGTTTTCCTTCCCCTTTAGTGACTGTACTGGAATCAATTCTTTCTCCTGAAGCCATGAAGAATGGCATGCCAACTGTCTCTCGGCTGTTACAGATGCCGTAAGTGGTCATGGGTAGGGTGAACCTTATAGTGCAGACTAGAGGAGGGGTAGACAACTAGGGAGGGTCTGGAGGCCCTACCCAACCTATTTTCCACCAGTACCACAGGCCCCCGCACATTTTGATGAAGCCATAAGTAATCAATGGTTGTTGTGGGTTTTTTGGGGTTCTTTGGCCATGTTCTGAAGGTTGTTCTGAACAATCTTCAGAACACGGCCAACGAGCCCAAAAAACCCATAACAACTATCAGATCCCGGCGTGAAAGCCACAAGTATTCTCTCATTTCCACTTTTCTAAAAATGATAGATGGGGCCTAACAGGTCTGTGAGAGGGCATTTAATAAGGTAATTACCCATACAAGAAGCTTCTGTAGGGAAGATTCTCCATCCGGTTTGCTAAATTATTATTATTGGCTCAAAGGACAAAGTAGAGATGGGAGTATTCGTATTCGTATACAAATACGAATCCCCCCCCACAGGTGGACGTAACAAGGGTCCATCTCCATGGGGCCAGACGATCCACTGACCGATCCACTGCAGGTGCTGCGGAGCCTTCCAATGGCTCTGGAGATCGCGTTCGGCTCACCACTCCTGGCAGGAGGCGGGACGACAAGCCTCTCCAGTAGGTCGAAGAGTGCCATTGGAGGGCTCCGTGGCACCCGCACCCGCGGCGGGTCAGTTAGTGGACCATCTGGCCCCATGGAGCTGAACCCTCGTTGTGTCCACCTTTGCAGGGGTATTTGTATACGAATACTACCTTCTCTACTTGAGAGTATGAGTTTAAGGGAGACATACAAAATGTTGTGGTGGCCCACATATGACTTAGGGGCTACACAGTTTCTGCATCTGGACTATGTAGACGCCAACAGTCAGTGCGTCTTTTCCCAAGGTCATCTACCCATTCCACCAGGTCCTCCCAGGCAATGCTCCTCCAGGTAGCCACTCTAAGGGAGGCCAGGAAATCATCCACTAGAAGCAGGGCCTTCTTTGCTGTGGCACCAACACTCTGGAACCGGCTACTGGTGGAGCTGCGCCTGGCTCCTTCCCTCCCAACATTTAGAAGACTCCTGAAGACACTGCTTTATAAAGAGGCCTTTTTTGTCAACCATGTCTGATATGTTTTTCTGGCTGCTTTGTCTGTTATATGCCTCTTGTGCTGCCTGTTATCTTACCGTTCATACCTCTTGGAGTTTTCTGTTTGAGTGCTGGTTACTTTTTTTTATTTAACTTATGTCCATTGTGTTTTTATCCTGTTGTAAACTGTCCAGAGTAGTGCATTGCACTAATGGGATGATATATAAATCTAATAATATAACATAATATACCATATTTGCCGGCGTACAAGGCGACTGGCCGTATAAGACGACCCCCCAACATTTCTACTCAAAATATAGAGTGTTTGTCTTCTGCGGCGCCAGCTGCCCGGGGCTCTGCCCAGGCCTGCCCTGGAAGTTCATGGCCGGTGGGGAGGAGGGCGAGGAAGAGGGGAAGAGGCTGGGTGGGCGGTGGGAGGAGGAGGAGGAAGGGGGGCAGGCGAGCGAGCGAGTGCGCAGCTGGCTCAGCAGCGTTGGGTGGCGGGCAGCCCGGCGGCGGGCTCTGGCCGCTCAGGCATGGCTGGCTCTGCTTCCCTCCCTTCATCCCGACCAACTGCCTGCCTGCCTTCCTCCACGGCGGCGGCTCCTTCCTGGCCCAAATGAAGTGCACCCAGTGTACAAGATGACCCCCCCACTTGGAGGCATGTTATTTGGGCCAAAAAAGTCGTCTTGTACGCCGGCAAATACGGTAATATAATATACTATAATATAATATAATTATAATATAAAGGAGGTCCTCATGATCTGACTTAAGTTTGTAGGAGGAGTGGGCTGTTCAGTGTTGTGCTGCAGCTGTATGGCCTGTGTGGGAAGTTGCTTGAAATGGATCTTCATGGATTGACTGGGCATCACGTGGGAAGTTGTGTCAGTGAAGAACCTCCTCACGTAGAGCTAACAGATCTGAGTTAAAGTCACCCAAATGGCTCATCAGGTGGTGCTCTGTCCACATGCCTGCAATTCCTATAAGTCTGTGCAGCCATGAATGCAGTAAGCCTGAGTGCAAAAATGGGATGAAATAGGAATATGGCAATGCCTGCTGTCCAGCTTTTTAAAATGTTGCCTTATGTTTCCTTTTCAGGTTATTCACGGATGTCCTTCTAACAAATTCAGAAAAAACACAATTTAAGGTAACAGTTTGCTTCCCCTGAAGTTACAAATTGGCATCTCATCAAATGAAAGCAGGGTTTGTGCTTTCGTGGTTGCTCTACCTGGCTTTGCTGTTGACTATTTTGCAATTATTGTCTCTGCCACAGTATTTCTCGTACCTAACTTCCAAATCTTCAGTTTTCTTTCCCAATCCTATAGTCAACATTGCTTGCTCTGCTGTTACATCTCCCTGAAATTGTGTGGGTTTTTTTGCTATGAACTTAGCATTTCTAGCCAGCCGAGAACTATTTTTCTTGCCTTTATTTTTTAATTGAAACTGCAACAAATTCCTTCCTTTTTAAATTATTTTCCATTATACCTCAGATTATGTTATTCAATTTTGGATATTACAAGAACAAAACAAAATGTTTATTTTCAAAATATGCAGTTTAATAAATCAGATTAAATTACTGCCAGTAGACCTCACTCCTAGGAAATTTTTGCTCTTGACATTCATGGCCACTATTTGGTCATTTATTCTCTGTCTCTCACGCTCACTCTCTTTTGGCATCTGAACAGGCTCTAACTTTTATCGTCCTCTCTGTTGTTTCAGGCTACTTACATTAATTCTGTTTGTGAGGCTGCCTAGTGAATCATTTTCCTTGGTTCTGATATCCAGCAAAATCCAAAGAAACAGACACACACACATATATACAAAAGACAAAAACATGGGGCATCTTAAAGACTAACCATTATATTTTTATGTAATCTTTAGTGGGCACATCCACTTTGTCAGACATATAGAAACAGAATGAAATTTTGGATGAAAGATCAGTTTCACAAGTAGAATATTTTAAATATTCGTTGGCTACAGGCAGTAATTAGGCCTATGTTTGTTTAAGGGTTCCTCCAAGAGAGGAACCCTTAATTGTCTTAATATTGCAATTGTATTTATATGATTATATATTTTTATATTGATTTATTTTATGTTGTAAGCCGCCCCGAGTAGACATGGTCTAGAGGGGCGGGGTATAAATTTAATTAATAAATAAAGTGCTACACACATGCCATGAATACAGCTGGGCATACAATCAGGCATGTAACCAACAGTACCTCATCAGTAAACTTCAGCATTTATAGATAAATAAATAAATAAAGAGACAAAAAGCAGACACCAGGTCTGAACAGAGATGAGCAGGAGATGGGGAGAAAAGAGAGATAAGGGGTGTGGTGGAGTTTGAAGACTTGGGATTCAGTTATAAGGGGAAAAATTAAATATAAAAGTAAATGTAAGAATGAAAGAAGATAGCAGAGGAATCTCATGTCTTAATGTGCATGCACCCCGAGGGTGCGAGTTCTAACAATTGTTTTTTTTAAACTTCTAGATTTATAATATAAAATGTAAAGCTCTCTCTATATAAATGACCCCTTGTTAAGTGACCACCCCTCTCCATTTATACTGGTGAAATGAAGAAAGCTGGGGACACAGTCCAGTGACTCAGAACAAACTCCTGTAGTCATAATTCTTCCATTTTATGTGCATGTTTTTGTGGGGTGGGGTGAAGCAAAATAGATGCAGGCATGAAATGTACCATCTCTGAGTTGCTTGTGTGGCCTGGGCCACTGCCTTAAAAGCCTTTGGGTGATGAAGGAGTGCAGTTGGGCCATCAGCAAATGCTCTTGGCTCTACTTATTTCAGGGAAGTGGATGTTGTTTCGCATGTGATTGAACTGTATTACCAGTTTGAGTAAATCAACAGATCTATCGGCCCACATCCTGTTGTGCAGTTCTGCAAAAGGCGTCTGTTTTAGTGGCAAATTGTCAAAAGTTAAGAAAAACTCAGTAGGTATTACCTGTTGTATGCTGAGGTGTGCAATGGATGATGTGTATAGAGATTTCCTAAGTTATGGGAAATTTGCTGTTAAAAGGTACACCTTTTGTCTAACTGTGCAACAGGATTTGGGCCATTAATTCTATTTTATGCATTCTTGTTTGTTTAGTCATTCTAATACATTAGAATAGTTTATATAAATTGTACTATTTTATTAGAGTGATTAGCTATAATAAAGAAGAGGTAATCTCATGCCACATCAGATTTTCAGAAAATGCCTGCATGGATATCAAAATAGAATGTTTTGGTTCTCTGACCATGTCAGGAATATTTTCTTTCACTCACCAGGTTCCCACAAAGTTAAAAGAGGCATTGAAGACTGCCAAAGAATGCATAGAGAAGAGACTAGTAGAAGAACAGAAACTGGTAATTTTTGAGCTTACTTTTTCCCAGTTGCTTGGATAATCTTCCCAGTCAGATGTAAGTTGTGCTACAAGCATTGGTTATTAACAACTACTAAAAAGCGCAGTAACGAATACTGACATTCAGCAATACAGTTAGAGAGCCTCCAGTTTAATGAAACAATGATGGGAATATATGGTGACACTTTTCAAGTGCATAAGAAGCTGTTAAAGGAGTGGGAAGCATGCATGATCACCAAGGCCATTGCAAATAAAGTACAGTAAGATCACCTGGAAGTCGAGCCATGGCAACTGGAATTCTTTCTTGTTAGGCTGAAACATTTCGCTATTCATCCAAGTATATTCTTCAGTCTGAGGAGAGTTCGTAGGAAATCCCAGATATATCCTCCACAGTTGGTTTCACTTCCCCCTGGTCTGAATAGGTTCATTAGAAGGACAAAGGACTAGGGTTGAGGGATAATCACACTTCTGCAGTCCTTCTCCACCCATTGTCATGGGTCATTAACAATGGTCTTTCTGGTGTGTGTGGTCCTAATCTTTCTGGGGAATGATGAAAGGGCAGTACGATAAATAGGAGACAGATTGTATCTAAGGCCTCCAACCCTGTTGAGTGACGATTTTCTATATGCACATGTATGGCTTCCATGACCCCTCTCAAACCACCTCATCCATCCCCAGAAAGATAATCACACCTGGATGACTGACGATCTCCACAGATACAGTAAGATCAGTTATCCACAGGATCGGTATTCACTGATTCACTTATCCACCATCCGAAAATATTAAAAATATTACAAGAAAAATTCACAAAATGAAAAATTCACAATATATATATTTTTAACAATGTCATTGTGACAACTAGCCAATAGCGGGAGCCAGAAATCATGCTGTGCATAGGATTCACTGATTAGGCATCCTTCAGTCTCGAGATACTATGGTAATGTGCTCTATATGGAGGACCTGGAATAGCACCCAGTGTGGCTGTGAAGGCCAATTCAGGAGTGACAATCCCTTCCACACTGAAGACAAATACAATCTGTCCCCTGTCCAGCTCCCTGATTTTGCTGGTTTTGGGACTGCCTGTTGAACAAGAGTCTCTTCAAATTGGGAGAGGCCATGATGCACTGCCTGCCGACAGGGTCTTATATTAATTTTTGCTCCAAAAATGTGTTAGGGCGTATTTTCAGGGGATTTTTTTTCATGTACAACAATCTGCATTTATTCAAGATAACAGTCATGTTATCTTCTGGTTGCTGCACAAAGGTAGAGGGTGGAATTTCACTTAAGTGGGGCTTATTTTTGGGGTAAGGCTTATATTACGAGCATCCTGAAAAATCTTACTAGAGTTTATTTTCAGATTAGGTCTTATTTTTTTTAGGGAAACAGGGTATGTATAGCATTTGCTAGTATAATAGTGTTTGCTATAATCCATGTGTTTAAGCATCCATTGGGGGGGGGCTTGGAACCATCCATGGGGGCCAGTTTTCTTACTGTACTAAATAGATTGGGATTTTTTAAAATTAGAAGCCATCTCAGATCACATTCTTCTGATCCATTAAAAGATTCATCAGCACAGAAGACTGACAAGAGCGCAGTCTCATCATGGTTCAGAGGAAGAGAAGAAAAGGAGGAAGATCTTAGCACGAAAAGTAAGCAACATATACAAGAGGGACCAAATAGTTCTCCAAAACGGTAGTTTCTATTATATATTTATTTATGGATTATTTCAGCAGGGATGAATACCTGTATCGCTCGTTGTTCATCATATCTGGTGTCTTTTCTTCCAAGGAATGTAGGGTAGGGTAATTATTCAGTTTCTGTCCTCACAACAACTCTAATAAGAGGCTAGCCTGTGAGGCTTTAGATGACGCAGTCTGTAAAACTTTATGGAAGAACTAGCGGCCCTCCAGGTCAGGTTTTTTTTTGGGCGGGGTTGCTCTCAGCATTCCTGGATATATTTGCTGGGACTGATGCAAGTCGCAGTTCAACAAGATTTGGAGGTATGAGTCCACGTGTTTCTGATCGGAGTCCAGCACTATTTTGTTTTTGTTCACCTGCAGATTTAGTTATTTGGGGCGAATCTATGAGCTGTTTATTTTACAGAGTTGGATCTGGATCAAAAGACTGCATTCCCACCTTTCATAATGTCCCCATCTTCAGCTTGCATTAGTCTCCTGATAGTCTGTACAGTATTAGCAATTTTGGTTTGATTTCAAACTGTTGGGAACAATGAGGGCATGAAGTTTAATTATAAGCCAGATAATGCTTGATTCAAGCAATAGTTTCCCATTGAAGTGGAAAGTTCTAAATGGGAGAAGAGGCATTTCCCCATATCTAGGGGGAGACTTTTCATCTACATGGTTAATCAGCGAGAAGAGTCATTCTGGCTAAGGTAGTGAGAAGGAGAAGATTCAAATTCCAGGTCTCAACATCCCCTTCTGAAACTTAATTTCATGTTGCAACAGCACTGATGAGCTTGGCTTTCCGTTGAGATCTGAAATGGGTATCTGTACAGTTCAGAGAGTTCACTGTCAGCGCATCTGCCCTCTACAGTCAAGACTTGGTCAGCAGAAACTAATTCATATAGGCTCAACTTGTGTTAAGTTGTCAGACCAGTTGAAAATAATCAGGATCTGGAAATGTTTCAATTTTTCCCTCTGTCCTGTTCTCGTTTTGTTAGAAGTCCAAACGCTCAGCCTTTGAGAGTGGAGAAGAACAGACAATGAAGTACAGCAACTCAAACAATTCAGGTATCTTAACAACGTCACAGATGCCTTGTTGCCATAAGGGGTCAATGGAAAGGCCGCTTCTTGGTGATGTCTGTGAATGACGAATGACATGCTGAAAAGTGAGCCGTGCTGCTGTTCTTCTCTAGAAGTCACAAAGATCAAGTCGGAGTTGGTGGCCTGTTCTGGATAACGGTTGTGTAATTTAGGATCTCCTTGTTGGTCTGTTTCTCTGTGATAATGAAAGCTAGCATGGATTTGCCTTGGTCCCCACCACTCTTATCCTGCTGCTTTATGTATGGCAGTTGATCTCTGGCTGCAGATCCATTCTCTGAGGCCAAAAGCTGAAATCATGCATATCATCAAGTGGATTGGGATAAAAAATTAACAGCTACTTACAGCAGCTGACAGGGGCACTTTGCCTCCTTAGGGCAAGGAGAAGCTTCTATGGGAAGAAGAAGAGGAAAACCTGTTCCTGTGAGCATTGTGGTCATATTTATAGGTCCTCAACAGCATATGTCATGCATGTAACTAAATAGGCCAGGTCTGGTCATAAACAGAAGACATATGAACAAATCGAGGGAAACTATTGGTTTCAAAAGATTGGGTGGAGGGGGAGGCGTTTGCACAGAGCTATGGCAGGCCATGTAAGCCTGCATTCTCCAGTCTGACGCCCTCCAGAGGTCCTGGTTTGCAACTTCCAGAATTCTTCCTCTCCTTCTTCCATAGGCTTCATTTTCAAGCCCAAGTGCCCACTGCAGACAAAAAAGAAATAAAGGGGCGGTGGTTTTGATCAGAAAAATTATCTGTGAAGTCATATCTGTCTGTCTATCTTTAACTGACTGAATCCTTTTGGTGTTCTTGTTCATAGCTGTATATCAACATGATGTGGCAGATGCAGATGCATATCTTTTTATATTTAGGCTACTCGTAAAATCAGGAACGGATCTTACTGAAATCAAGTTCCCCTTTAGACACTCTTCTGCTACCTGTCTTCTACTCCTCAATGCCCAAGACACAAGACTAGGGACTTACGCAGGAGTGGTGCCACAAATAACACCTGTGGACCCAAGGAGATTTCATTTGGCCTGGTTTCCATTGTTTTCCCACTGTGCTTTGCCTGCTGATTAACAGCGAAATAACATAATAATAAATTCATTATTTTATTTTTAAAAGTTACGATTGGGTTTGTTTGTTTTTAACATCAGAATAATAAGTGTAGGAGAGGAATGATGAGAGTTAGGATCTTGGCATATGAGGAGAAGTAATTACATTTTTTGGTCTGCTTTTTTGCACTTGGAGGAAGACTGATGTGGGCATTGCTTCCCAATGGAACATTTTATTTGGGGTGATGCAAACATTTTCCTCACGAGTGTTCTTGATCCTGACTCTCCTTCACCACCAAAGAGCAACGCAAAACAAGCATCTCTTTCATATGAAATGTAGGAAGACTGTGAAACAGACTGTATAGCTTGGTTCACAATCTTCCTCCTGTGATGATTTTAGCACCCTCTTGTTTATTCCAGCCACCCCCATGTGTGTCTCATTATAAGCAGGGAACAAGATGTTGAAACGGCTTCTTATTAGCAACTGTGAATGTTTTTTTATTCAGCAGGCTCAGGGGCGAGCACACCTCTAACGTCCCCTTCTTCGCCTGTTCCACCTTCTACAGCAGGTGAGTTAAAAGCACCACTGGTTGTACCTATCTGATGTGGTTTTGATGCTATAAGACAGACCAGCCTTTCCTTTTCCAAGAGGCAGAATTGTTTGCCTAAAAAATGTATCCAAATGGCTTCCTTTTGACCGTGTAATCCAATGGGGCAGTCAGATTCTGGGCTTCTCTTTTGTAATGCATGGCACTGCATCAGCCTTCTCCCTTACTAGCTACTGTGTTAATACAGTACTGAGGAAATCCTTGCTTTACAGTTTGCAGTGATTTAACCTTGCCTACCTCACCATCTTTCTTAATAATCCTTGTGCCCGTGCTCAGTTCTCTAAACAAGGTGTGCAGTACTGAGCGTCATCTGGATTCCATCTGTGCTCGATCCTGTGTTTTGTTGTTCAAGAATTTCCTTTGGATTAGTGGTCCGCCTTTTCTGTCCGTCATGCACAACCAGCTGTTGTTTGACATGTCAGTGAAGGTTCACTGTGGGAGAGAACAAGCTCGGGGAACTGACGGAATGGATTCCCAGCAGGAGGGAAAAGTTTAGAAGCTGTTCTGTCACATCATGGCAACAGCTGGGCTACTTCCATTGCAGGCTAAGAGACTAAGCTAAGAGCTTCTGGTTTTCATTTCCAACGTATCTTGAAGTCACAAGGTGGCTTTATGCTGGCCAGTCTTAGCTCCCTGCTTTGCAACTCGGGAATAAGAAAGCCAACCTGCTGTTCAGGATAATTGTGACCTACTGCTGAACAAGAACTTTTGTGGGCTGCAATCCACTTCACTAGATGCAGGATCTTGGTGCAGTGAGGGGTATTTAGTGCAGCTGATTTCACCCAGTGAAGGGTAATGAAGATTCTTTTGTCTTCATCATTACAAGCTCCCTCCCCCCATATATTTCCAACCTTGTTTTCTTTATGTGAATGAGAAGAAACACACAATCTACACATTGGGATTCAGCTGTATAGCCAACACATTTTAAAAAAACTGAGAAAGAGAAATCAGTCTTCTCAGGATCACTCAGTTCTCTTTATGGCTTTCCAAAGCAGAGACATTTCCAAGCCAGTTCCCTGTCTGGCTTCTTAACATACTGGTGAGCTCATTTGTTGCTCTTCAAAGTTATTTTACAACATTGAAACGTGTGGTGCAACAGTTGGCTTCTTTAAGTCTCAGATTGTATGTGTTGAGATAGGCCTGTTACTCCCATTGGCCATAAACTGAGACTTAATAATGAAGTGGTGCCTCGCACGAGTGCCTCACACAACGATGAATTCACACAACGATGCCTTTTTCTGTTAAATTTGCTGCCTCACACAGCGATGTTTCCTATGGGGGATTTTCACACAACGATCTCCCTTTTCGCTCCTGTAAAAGTGTCTTACAATGTTTGGATGATTTTCTTAGAACTCATTTATGATGATTTTTTGTTTTTTCTCCATAGGAAACCATTGGATGGTCTGTCTAATGGTTTCCAATGGAAAAAACAAAAAATCATCATAAATTAACGAAGTGTCAGAACAACCACCAAAATCAGTTTGCATAGGTTTCAGGAGGTGGACTAACCATTGCAATCATTTAAAACAGCGTCCAAACATTGTAAGACACTTTTACAGGAGCGAAAAAGGACTTCGCAAAGGCATTGAAATGTATTGAGTCGACTTCAATACATTCCAATATAGGAAACATTGTTTCACTCAACGATGTTTCCTATGGGGATTATCACTGAACGATGGCAATCCGTTCCAATTGGAACGGATTAACCGGTTTTCAATGCATTCCTATGTGAAATGGTGTTTCACAGAACGATGTTTCACACAACGTTGATTTTTTTGGAACCAATTAACATCGTTGTGTGAGGCACCACTGTATTGTGTGTAGCCTATTCTGAGGTTCTGCTGAGTTCTAAGAAAACACATAGAGACTTTTAGCCTTAAAAAAAGATAAGTTGTCAGAGATCATCATAGTAAACTAAATATTTAAGCTGTAATCTGAATACAAGGAATTGATTGAATAGATTTGAAAGTGCTGAGTAATCTGCTCCAGTACTCTTGCTGAATATTGAACTTTAATTATATATTTTATTACTGTAGATTACCTTGTCTGATTCTGGGTTTGTGGTCTGTTTTATCATGTAACTACTGTTGCTGAGTTCCATGGCCTTCTTGAGGAATTTTGTTTTGATTCTGTTAATAACAAGTGAAGATATTTAGACAGTGTAGACATTTTTACATTTTGTGTAGAGAAGAGGTTTATTCCCCTCTCCAACCTCTAATACACCATGTCCCTTAAATTGAAAGAACTGTTTATTTTTTTCCAGCCATTGCATACAACGTAGTCTTCTGAACTGTATACATCTTGTGGTCTGTAATGAGTCATCTGTCCGCTGATGTTCTTATATGTTTGTTTGCAAAGGTTATATTTGCATATTTTCTTGCAGTAATGAAGGTTGCATGTCCTTGTAAGCAGGCGTTGTTTTGGCATGCTGATTAATATTCTGCTTTTATGTGATTTTTTTTGTTTCTAAATTCTCTAGAGTACTGCCACCATTTAAAATGTATAAATGGTCAAAAGTTAGAGAGCAACTGATTCATTGTAGGAGTTTGAGGGTTTACATTTACAATTCTGTGTTGCTTTTAGTGTGGCTGTTAACAACGAAAATATGGTATCAGCTTGGGAGGAGGTGGGTGCCTGTTGTCTGGATCATATCAGGTGCAGAACAGAAACTGGAAGCCCTTCCTGCCCTGCTGTGTTCTTGAGGAAATCCCTTGTCTGAAATTGGAATTTGCTTTTGGGGAAGGGGAAAAAAAATCTCTCCTTAGCACCCATGGTGGATTTCCACTTCAGCATTGTCATGATCACCTGTCCCTAAAGAGATAATAATCTTGGCCGAGGAGTCACTGTGGATTCAAAACTACCACTTTTAGTACCTGAGGTAGGTCCTTTAAGCCTCAGATGTGCATAGTTCGTGCTCTATGGACAAGCTCGACCTTAAAGGAAACATTTTGCTTACTCTCAAAGCAATAAACCATTGGCTGTGTGCCTCCTTAGACAGCACAACAGACTGGAAGGGTAGGACCTCTCTATATTACAGTAGCAACTAGTGACCTTCTCAGATCTCCTCTGAATATAGGTGTAAGTCCTGCTGTTCAGTCAGTCCTCTGTGGAAGAATTATATTTATTTTTATTAAGAAAATAAAGTAGTTTCATTAGAATACAGTTGTAGCATTAAAAGGCATAAAGCATTAAGCATATCCAGAAGTTACCATGATTAAATAAGTTCAGTATTCCTAAGTAAAATAATAAACAGCTAAGACTACACTAAGTAATCAATCATCTTTGCTTTTTCTACATGTTAGCAACTAGAGAAGCTGGGCTATTTCTTCCCCCTCTTCTCCTTCAAAAGACAAACCTCTCACATTCCACAACATCCACCATTGCCATCATCTGTCACATACAACAACCATTTTTCTACATGTCTCTGTACCACCTCCTTCATGACACTTTCAAGCTGCTAACCAATTAAGATCAAGTAGGTATAAACACAGGCCATCTTCCTGTTTACCAGGAGATGTGCAGCTGGTTTTCTCGATCCCAATTAAGAGGTAGGCAACATTTCATCCTCCCTTGATCTTCTCAGCCTTGGCAAGCTGCTAACCAATTAAGATCAAGATGGTAAACATCTTCCTGTTTACCAAGAGATGCGCAGCTGGTTTTCTCAATCCCAGTTAAGAGGTAGGCAACGTTTCATCCTCCCTTGATCTTCTCAGCCTTGCTTTCTTAACTCATTACTCATTAAAACTCATTAAAAAGTACAAGAATTGTGATGAAAAATAAGATTGCCTTGTGCCAACTTCCGCCTGCCCACACCCCCTTGTTCTTTCTTTCTTTATTTATTTGATTTTTATCCCGCCTATCTGGACCAACGGTCCACTCTAGGCGGCTTCCAATATAAAATCAGAAAGTAAAACCTCACGTTCTTCCTGTCATTTCCTCTCCTCTCTGATTGAACAGAAATAGATTCAAGTGGGATTCAACTGAAGTACCAAGGTAGAAGGCATGGAGAACCATATCAATAAAATTCCTAATGCAGACTTTTAGATCTCCCCTTCCCCGCCCACACTGTAGACCACATGTGTCAAACTCAAGGCCTGTGGACCAAATCCGGCCCACCGGGCCGTTTCATGTGGCCTTCGCAGTGTTGCCTGCTACTGTGCAGTATACAATACGCAGGCACTTACTTGGTCGCCCATAATGTCCCACAAGGATGCTGGGAATCCACCTAGCGGGACTTCTAATCTCAGCATTCCAAGCAGTGAAGAGTCAGAAAATGCAGGGTCTTGGGCAGTGTAGAGCTTTACCATTTCCCATAAACTCTTTACTGGAGGAACATTTTGCTCTAGCTGAGGCTGTGCATATGTGGGCAGAGCCATCTATGTGCATATTACTAGTTAGATTGGAAATCACACACACATGAGGGGAGGGGCAAAGGCATAATTGCCCAGTCTGATCCCTGGCCTATGTATATTTTTCGGAAAATTACTCCTAACGACTGGTTGCTTTATCAGGCTGTTCTGTAAAAATAACATGTCAACCTGGCAACCTCATTGGAAATAGCTGGGAATAATTATTTTTCTGTTTAACAGTGACATTTCAGATTAATTTACCAGGTGGTCTGTTATCTTTGCCTAGGGTTTAGGGCAGTCATGTATTTCCATTCCTCCTCTGGGCATGGCCTTTACAACTGGATTGTATTCTTCTTGGCTCTGTGATCTGTTAACTTGTTTTGTAGAAGATAGTGTGTGTAGAAGTTCTGAGGTGCTTCTTTAGTACATCGTAAAATTTTTCTCTTCCCTTCAGCTGAGACTATACCACTTCGTAGTGGAAGTCTGGAATGGTATACAGGCATGTCATTTGCACCTTTGCATTATGAATTGGTACAGCTGTGAGGAGAAGGGCGGTGGCAGACAGACAGAATGAAATAATTAGTGATGGATCTAATTTGTTACATTTTCTTA